GAGGGGCTGGTAGAGGGGGATGTATACGCCTGCATGCACACATGTTAACACCCATGTGCCTACATACATAAACTTATACACATGAGGAAAATATCTAGTTGTTTCTCATTTTCTATTAATGCCATATAGGAACTGGTTGTCTACTTGTATGTCCTTGATTTTGCACAACTTAATCACAAACAGGGTTTGTTACCAAGCTGCTTCTTACAGCGGCTTTCAGTGTTTGCTACTCTAGCAGATCACTGAACAACGTAAAACCAGAATTTATTACAATGTATTTAAATTCACGATATAAATCAAGTCATGGATGTTGAAATAACTTTCCACAGCTGTGTTGCATCAAAGACAGACTGAACAACAGAAGAGTGAAGATGAGAAAATGTTAGAAGAAGAAAGGGGGGAGAGGGAAGAAAGACACAGAGAGCAAGAAGCAGCTTTGGGAAGAGAGCAAGAAGAACTGGAAAAGCTGAACGAGGAGATGGTGACTCCTTAGTATTTTAATTTCTGATAGTAACGTGGCTTTGTCATGCTGTATATTTAAGACTGATGTGTGTGTTACTTGGTTAAAAACAGATTTTACGCTTTTTTGAAAGGTGCAGTAATAGAGGTTACCTTCTTTTATGTATGTATGTGATTAACCAAAGAGTTTTGCTAAAATTGCTTCTTATGTCAAGGAACTTTCTCACCTGAAGCAGATACTTTTTCTTCTGTGCTTCATTCAGATGTGTTAGAGTGTGATTTTTTTAAATTACATAGTTTGGGGCTTAAGCAATAACTTAATTCATCTTTAACTGAATATAACAAGTTTAATCGTGTTTAGACTGGCACATTTTACTGAACTTAATATGAAGTTCTGTATTTATTACAACTTGTAGATACTCTTCTTGAGCTGATCAATATTTAATTTTGATTTTGTGTCCTGAAGCGTGTCCAAGACTTGATGAAAACAGATGAAGAAAAAGAAGATAAGGAAAAATTTGAAAGCAGTCATTCTGGTGCTGGAGATAATGTAAGGGGCTCTTCTCAAAATCCATTAGAAAAATACATGAAAATAATTCAGCAGAGAAGAGAGCAGGAACTAGCCAACAAGGTGATTATTTCAAAACTAGATCCTTCAAAAATCAGTTATTTAAATTGGTTTCTTGTTAAGTATGTTTAGTATGAAAACAATATTGTTTCTTCTTCATTCAGAAGATTAATTAAAAAACCTCCTGAGGTGAATGATTGGATTAGTATTGAAGAAATGTGTTAATGTAAAAGGGAAAAAATGAAATTTTCTTTGATAAGTTTTTTTTTTGTTCAGCTATGCTGTGTTTTGTTAGCTAAAGCACTACATTTTAATTTAAATATCTGCAATTTTAGTAGCCTTCATTTAATAAGCTGTTTCAGTAAGCTGTCTTAAAATGCAGATGCTATTACTGGAGTCACTGATAAAATTAGATGTAAGAACCAGTGACAGAAACTGTATTTTCCTCTTTGCTTCCAGGATTCAAAAAAAGAAGAACTGGAAGAATTATCACTTATGGAAGGACTTGGATCTAGTGATAAAGATGACAGGTAAGGCATTAAGGTATTATTAAGCACATCTGTTACTCCTTACTAATAAATAGGATAAATATTTATAAATAAAGAACAAGATAAACTTGTAATGAAAACCTAGTATCTTGAAAAATTAAGGACCCTCCCAATTCTCATCCAGGAAAAGGTAATTTTCCTTGCACTATATTGAATCAGGATCTAGAAGCCCATTCAGTGATGTTCCAAAAGTGCAATTCAAACTTTTAATCTGCAGCAGAGCAGCCCCTCTGTTACTTCAGTTCACTAAAGGATCAGGGATTCTCCCAAAGCATTGACCAAAATTTGTTAGCACTGCAGGTTGCTTGCTTGTAGGCTTGTATTAGCATTGAATCCAGCATTGATTTAGAAGTAGCAGCACAGACATATAACAGACTAATTTACATACTGTTTTTGGAGAGATTTTAGCAACCTGTGCTAAGCTGTCTTAGTCCATTTGCTGTGATTTTCTTTAGAAACCAATAGTAAGGTTATATAGTTTTCAGTTGCTTGATAGGAAAAAATCATTCTCTGTCAGGTCTTTCTGTTTGCATGGAAACTCAAGTTCCTCTCTAAAACCAGTATGTATATTTAAGATGAAGTACTTTGGATTCATTCTAATCCTTTTATTCTTATTTTTTCTTCCTCTCCCAAATCCAGTGCTGCGGGCATTTCTCACGGAGAGGCTGATGAGAGTTTCTGGTGAACAGCAGCTTTCCCTAATACTCTGGCTGTAAGTGAAGCTGTGTGAAACGTTACAGCCTACACGAGCATCGCAGGCTGTATAATTACAAATGTGTAAAAATGGTACGAGCTGGCTCATCACCTCAGCCATGGAATTCAAATAGGTGCCTTGCTAGTTCATAACGATGCCTGTCCTTGGCGTGTGGTGATGGGGGAGCAAAGCAGCATCAAGAGACAGATGGGTATGTTCAGGTAAATTGGTTTGACGTTGAGTTTCTCTAGTTTGTAAGTGTTGTTTGCCCTCCCCGTTCTGCGTTATGTATTACAGATAGTAGGTCTCAAAGAAACAGCGTTAAGTGTAACAAGAACTTCAAATATTGCTTGTTCTTAAAGGTTCTCTTTGGAGAACCTTGGCTGGTGCAGTTTTAAGAGCAGAGTGTGACAGAACCAAAATAAACAGTCCCCCCTTGTCCCTAGTTTAAGGGAAACAAACACTTCTAAAAGCAGCTTTATTTCAAGCATTGCTTTTTTTTTTTTGTATTAACCAGTCCAAAATGGAGAGATTCCAATAAAAGTGCTATTTAACTCCTCTTTATTTAAGCTTTGTATTTTGTAGGTAGATTATAGGCAAGATCATTAAACTTTATTTACAATATAAAATACAGTATTTCTAATCAATGAAGTAATGGCAGTTGGCAGCATATAGTACAACTCACACTGCATTTGTGGCTGCTCCTCCTGACCTAAGTACAAGAATATGAAGCCAAGTTTGACAGAATTTAGGGGCAAAAACTCAAACTCTGTCTTGAATTTATTGGATGTGAAACGCTGTGTACTAAAAACGTGACAGAAATAAATGCTTTGCTTTTTTTTTAATTAAGATAAAGAGTCATTTGGCGGCTCGTCCAGTTTTACACGCTGCCGAATTTGGTATTGCAGCAAATTTGGAATTTACGAGGTGTCTAAGAGGCTCCTTCTGTTTGAGGTCAAGAACGGGATGGTAGCGCGTGTTGCATTATGCTGGCCTGGAGCAACCATCAAAACTTAGTGCTAGAAAAGCCTTCAGCCTGCTCCCCCCTAGGGCAGCTTGCACCTGCAGGGCCTCCTTTCCCAGCACATCATCGAATGGATACTACTGACCAAAATGTGTTGAGCTGCTTAAGATAGAGATGTAAGAGCATAGAGATGCACTGGTATTAGAGTAGCTGTAAGTCTGTTTTCAAATAAGCATACACAAGTGTTGTCTATTATCTACAAATATTTATTTTAACACTTGGATGTAACTACAGGAAGCCCTTGGCACTGATAGAAAATATTGATTCACTGTTAGGTTACAAAAATTTATACATAGCAAAATTTAATGCTCTTTACATAAAAATATTAGACTACTTAAACAAAACTTCAAAAACTCCCAGTAATAGCTACACTGAATTAGAAAAGAATTAGGCTTTAAGACACTGCCTCCATGATTACCCTTATGCAAACACTGGGCTAGAACGTCACCTGCATTGCTGTAGAAATGTCTCCTTCATGCAACAGGTAAGAACATACACTAGGCTATTTTGTCATATTTGCTCTACATTGATCAACTTTGCCCCTTGTTTTGAAACTGTCAAATTAGACTTCAATATTTAATAAAGAAAAAACAAAACATATTTGATGTTTAATTAAACCCCCCCCCAACTGTCTTCTCATTTAATACTGACTTGAAGAAACTTGTGCTTCCTTTTACTTATATTCAGCAAACAGTCAAAACTATCAAACCACACGTCAGCTTAACATGGGTATGACCTAAATATTTATTTTTTCAAATGACTGATGTATTTTACTCTTCCCCCAACATTTATAGATATATCATATAGAACAAACACCAAATATACCATCACTAATACTCAAGATATCACTGAATGCTTCTGAAAAAAAACATTAAATAGAAGGCAGACTTCTATGGGAAATGACTTTAAAATGGCACCTTTTTTTTTTCTGAACACCACATTTTCTTAATGTTGTAGTTAATTTGTAAAAAGGAAAACACGTAAGCACTGACTATAAATTTGCTAAGCACCAAGATAGAGAAAGGTGGACATCCTGTATTCTGCTTTATGGCTGTATTCTTTTTTTTTTATTGTTTGTGTAAAACTCTGCAAAATTACTTCTCCGCTCGTTTGGAGTAGTTAAATTGGTGTCATTTTAATAAGGTAACACTTTTCACTTAAAATGTAGGATAATGGTCTCCTGCTGCTATATAAATGCTAAGACATTTATAGAAAATAAATATTAAGGCAAAGCTGACATTTATTTTCCAAGAAGGGGATCATTATCCAGATCCAAGGATCTACATTCCATTAAATAGTTAATAAAAAGATTAAAACTTGGGACATATGTTCAACACTCATGTAAGCACAGTCCAGTGACTGCTTCTTCATAAAAAAAGTGGCACGAAAGTAGATTCCTGGGGCCCAGTTAAACAGGCGCCAGAGACTGCCCTGTTAATAACTTAGTTGTCTGGTAAATACTGCAACTGTGCTGTCAAACAAGCACAAGTAGTTAAACTCTTGAGCTAGCCACAGTTTCATGTGGTATATAAATTAAGACTAAGTCCCACGTTGTGCATGTGCCTTTGTACAGGGCCTGCACAAAGATCTGCTGCTTGCTGGTTTGCAGCACCCACTGCCGTCCTGGGCAGGGATTCATGCTGTGGTACCCAGTAAATACCCAAAGTCCTAAGGAAGAATAATTTGGTCACCAGTTGTGAAGTGTTGCCTTTTAAAATGCCTGGACTAAACCCTCCATTCTCTGTATTAAGGGATGGAAGATTACCCGCGGGAAGCGTTCCCTATGTACAGGTCTCCAGGAGTTTGAATTTGAAGCTTTTGCACTTCGCATTATTTTGTTTGGTAGACACAGATCGGTGCTGCAGAGCAGCTAGTGGCTGATTTGTCAGAGCTACCGAATTCTTCTGCTCAATTACTGTGGCAAACATTTATGTGAAAGAATTGAGTTGCTCTTTGGACCGAGACTGGATGTCCTGAAGCTCCTGCTCTTCTTTTGCTTTGATATCCTGGTAGGCCTGCATTTTGCTCGCATCCTTTAAGTAGGCCCAGTTAGAGGACAGTATCATGAGGAAGTGGATCTGGAAGAGAAGGGTGAGCATGATGGCTAGTGAGCATGGCAAGAGGCAAAGCAAGCTGCTAGTTAGATTAATAGACGCTCCTTCAAGTCATAACCAAACGTTACTCTACGTTAATAAGCATTCTGTTACCAAAACAAGCACGGGGGCTACTTCAAATGGTCTCTAGGATTTTGCATGCTAATATTTAAGTTGGTTATTTAACATTTAGACAACGTTAGTATAAGTAATAAAGTGAGCTGGAGTTTTACTGACCAATTAAAATGCAGAATGGGGGAAAAGGAGAAAAAAAAATGTTTTATATGTGGCAATTTATATAACGTGTAAACGAAAAGGTGCTCCGAAGAACTGCTCGCTAAGGCTGCGGTGTTTCTGTATGTACAGGCACAGAGGCTGCTACCTCTTGTTTTCCCCAACAAGCAGATGAGAATTCTGCCCCCACCTCCAAAAAAGACTAAAATTGTAAACAGTTTTATTTATGTGAACAAAGCTACATTAATGTATTGGAAAATTAAACAACAAAACGTGAGTCCAACACTAAGCAAAAGCATGCAATCTCCGAGTTAAGAAATCTTCATAACATATCTTTATAACTACACTTTAAACGCCCATTGTCTAACTTTTTAAGTCTTACACCAAGTATAGAAATTGGTTGGTGGGTCTTTTTGTTGCATTTTTCTTTCTCTAGTTTGTGAACACATCTCTTTTTCCAACTTCTTTTCAGCATACTTCATGCAAAAGAAATCTACATCTGCAAACACTGCTTCACCGCTCCTTTTTCACCATTGTAAACACGTCACTAGGATCTGTGCATGGTTTTGCTTCCCTTGCAGTCATACTTACATTTTTGAGATCTGGCTACTGAGAAATCAGTTACTAAAGTGCGAGCCGTACAAAAATGGAAGTTAGCTAAACAGAGCTTCTTACTAGGTTGGGGTCCAAAGGAAGGTGGTGATTGTTTTACGCAGAGCTAGTACAAGGACAGATTTTCTGCCAGAGAGAGCATGATTTGGCAATCACTTGAAAAATAAGTTTTAAAGAAAACAATAAATCAGCTTTATCATCCATACGCCGGAAATAGAGGCCAACAGATTCACAATACCTGGGCTTTGCCAGAAGATACTGGCACTGCTTTTATTATTATTTCATGTCATACACATTGCATGCTCCTGTTTCTTGTATTGGTGTTCAGGATGCAGAAGAACAAACTAGTACCTCCGACCCTGAACTGTTCCAGTTTTGTTTGAGAGAGAGATGACTGTTAGAAGCAAGCAGAGATTTTACCTGAAAACTTCCCATCTTCCAAAGGATCATTTACAACAGCCCTCGAGTAACTGAATCCTCTCAACGTGAACAAATAGCCAGATCTCATCCACATCATAGTTCATATACAAGAAGTCATTTTATTAATCTCATGAGCTAAACGACGCTTACTGAAGCTATTTACAGTTACTGTAACAAAATTCAAAAAGCTAGACTTTTAGCCTAGGGTGTCAGTGGTATTTCAAGCTACGCAATGCAGCTCTTTCTTTACTGGGCTTATACAATTTAGAATTTAGTGCAGCAATCTTCCCGACTCTTAAACTTCAAAACAGCATAGTTATATGTAGTAGCCATCATGTAGATCAGCTGGTGGAAGAGAACAAAATACAGGATAGTAAGATACAAAGGTTGACAGCTCAAAACACATTCGGGCAATTTTTGGTAACTACAACAGAGGTTATTCCGAGCTTCTTCCAGGATAAAGATGAAAGATCAGTATTTTGCCATTTACCTTTAGAGCATGGTCTACAAGCAGGCCTAAAGCTATCGTCCCGTCCAAGAACAGCCAATCTTAACACCCGCACTTGGCTGACAAGAAATTAGAGACTGCTGACTAGGTAAGTGTTAGACTCTTGTCCCTTTGTCCAACCGCTGCCTTTCCCTGGCACTGCAGGGCTGGACTAGTCACAGTGCCTGGGTCCAGACGGAAGGAACAAGCAGTTACAAGCTACTGATCACTTCTAAACTACAAAAATGGAAAGAAACAGTTTGGTTATAAAAACTGCAGAGTGAGGACTTTCAAAGGAGATATAGATACAAAGTGTTTGGTTTGTTTTTCCTAAGCATGGAGGAAGCGAGTTAAGAAAACTTCTTAAGGCAAAAGCCTGAGACCCTCTGACTTGTAAAGACTAAAACCAGGCAAAAACTTTGCTACAAAAGGAGGTGTCAAGACAAGTTGAAAGTTTGCAGCAAATTACCAAGTTTAAAAGTTTTTTTTTTTTAATTTCTTTTGCAGTTAAACCCTGTTATAGCTCCTGAAGTTAGAAAACCACAGTCAGTCAGTGTCAGAGCAGCTAAGCTGGACTTAGCTTGCTTTCCTTAATCGGTAGTACTACTATTTTTAAGATGTACAGAATTTAATTGCAAAATACCCTTGAACCTGAAAGGAATGCGTTACCCAAAAGCACCGCCAAAAATGCTACCTACCAGCGCTATGACGGTGGCACCAGCTCCAGCACAGGCCACGATGAACAGGTGATAAGACATGTAGAACTAGGAGGGGGGGGAACAAAAAGAAAAGAAAACATGTGAAAAACGTGCAAGTGCCCGGGGCGCCCCGCGCCTGTGCCCCTCGGCGGCGGGAGCCGCGCGCCGCTCGGCCTGGGTACCTCGTTGGTGTTGCAGATGTTTTCCAGGATGGGCCCGCACGCCTTGCCCGGCACCGCGTTCCACGGGATGATGCCTGAAACAGCAGGGCGAAAGGGACCTCATTCCTGCCCTGCGTCGCGGCCCCCGCGTCGCGGCCCTCGCGCCCGCTCCTACGCTGGCTGCTCCCCCACGCGTCACTGGAAGGGATGATCTGCCCCTCGGAGGTGCTCGGCACCTTTCAGGATCGCCCCGGATATGCGATTCGGTACTAGGGTCGGTTCTACTCGAACAAGCACCTACTGTAGGGGAGTGTGAATATGGAGCCAGGGGGGATAATTTAGTACTAAAGGATTTATTTTTTCTGTTTTAGTTCCAGTAGGTAAAATGCATTAGGGGAACACTGCTCCAAGAAAATTTGTCCTGCCATACCTCATGTACTCTCAATTACTTGTCTGAATGAAAATGTAAGGACTAGACAGGATCTAAAAGTTTAGCTTTTTCTAAGTTTTCTAGATGTGAGACATAAGAGGAAGTCATGCCTTCAAAGAGAAAAACCAACACAGTCTCCCCAGTATAACTTGCAGTCCAAATTCAGCTGGTTGGAATTAGCAGCTCTGTGAAGAACAGGTCATTTCAGCTGTGACTTTCAAAAAGGTATTTTTAAGGTTTACTTCAAAGCCAGTTTCTCTGCACGTTCAAAATACACTTGAAGGCGCTGAGTTACGGCGGCCACCCCCGCCAGGGTAGCTCAGTGACTCTGCCAAGAAGCTGCTGTAGAGCTGATTTGGGCTGCTTTGCTTTTAAGGCATCTCGGCCTTTCATGCGGCCTGTAAATCCTGGGTAGGAAAGCAAAATCCAAAACTGCCTTCCTTCTTCAACTCAGAATCAGTTTCTCACTTTGAACAAAGTAGTCCAAAGAAAGAGGTTGACATTCTTAGACCGAGCTGAAGTTAAGGCACAAGCTTTTCTGCACTCCAGAAGTGGAAAGGATTAACTTCAGGAAAAATTCACCTTAAGGACTGAACCGTTCAAAAAGCTTGACCATACCTTGTTATTTTCCCACTCCTCTGCTACTGCATTTCCCTTCAGCTTTCTACATGTCATTAGGAAGCCCAAACCCGCAATCGGGAGTCTGCCTCAAATATTAATGAATTAGTGTCATTAATAATTCATTAATATTTGAGGCAGACACTTAATTGAAGATTTGGGGGGGAGGGGAGGCTTAAGCAAAAGTGTTCGGCTACAGCAAAGTTATGTTGACTTCATATTTAAATTTAAACCAGCTTTTTTTTTTTTTTTAAAAAGGGGGGGGGTATTTATTGAAGAAATTAGTTCAAAGAACAGAATCTGGTTATCTATTTCTCAGCTCTGTTTCTAAGCAGTTTATTTTGAGGCCGAACTATTTTTAAACCTAATATTATAGCTCTAGAAACCGCTACAAAATCATTTAAGATAAATGACTTGCCAGTTCAAATTGATTGCATCTGGAAGGAGATCAATGTAATCTGAATTAATTAGAAAAGTAATAGCATGTACAGAGCTATTGGCGCTGTTGCATTAGGTTCATCTGATACGGCTGAAACAAAACTACTGAAGCTAGGCCAGGCAGAGACGATAAAGCATTTAATCAGGATTAAAATAAGTACCGTATTGCCTGATATCCACGCAGACCTGGTCCCCTGGAACCGTCATATTCATCTGAAGCGTTTTGATGGCTTCGCAGGTTGACCATATGTTATAGAACATGAAGACGGGCACAGCAGAGAAGCCGAAGACGCCGAGCCAGGCCACTCCCAGCACGTAGGTGAGGAAGACAAACTGCGCAGAGAAAACACACGCGCCTCGCGCTGCTTTTCCCTGGAAGGAATGCTGGAATATGCCTCGAAAACACCTCACAATAACCCCGAAGGGCACGTTCCATTATCTTACAGAAAAGTTCATACCCACGCACAAATAAAATCAATCGGTCGCCCCACCGTCCTGAAAGAGAAACTATGAATTCCCAAGCTCCCCAGCTAACTAGGAATTCTGGTTGTAGGCTAAACCCAACAGAACACCCACAAAAATCGATTGCAGATTTGGAGTGTAAAATTAAATAACTGCAAAATTAAACATATGAGTATCTCTGTACAGCTTGGAAATCAAAACAAGAAAGGAATCGATGTCCACAAAGCCCTCCTGTGCTCCCTGATTTATGCAATCAACCATTTTTGAATGTAAAGTGGGAGAACTATTTTTGAAGGCAGACCATGTTCATTATAGCACATCGGAAAACTTTAACTGATCTAATACACATTGCCTAAAAAGAAAACTAGCTTTGGTTACTTTGCCTTAAAGAATCACAGATTTTTCCATGGAAATTTGCCAGTTTATCTTTTATAAAAGTTATATGCATTTTCTCCAGTGAGATTATAATGTATGACACTCACTGCTTTGGAAATCTCCAACTTTCCCCTCCCACTGGCCTTCCTTCCTTTTCCCTCTCTTGTTAAATTTTATGGTGAAACATTAGCTCTTGTGCTCCGGTGTTAATTCGTAGCTTCCTTCTCCTTAGGAGACCCAAGAAATTGCAGAGATACAAACCGTAGGGATAAGGAACGTTGTTCCATGCTGCATATTCCCTTTTCCATGTTGCTTATTGAACATTATCATAGGGTTTTTAGTTTGGAGAATTGTAGAAATAGGCATTGATAATATGCAATCTTGTTTAACACTTACTGCCAAAAACTAATAGTGAGGCCAGAAAAAGTTCTCAAGGGCAAGATTTGCTCAGTTTGGCAGCAATGCTGAAGGACTGAACAAATCTTGCAGAGGTGGAAGTTCCTGTTGTCATCAGATTTTGTCCAGACTAGCTAAATGACACTGGAAATACTGTACCAAACTTAGAGCAAGTGATGGGTTAGCTTTTACAGTTAATTAAGGTGGCATTTGGGGAGGGAGTTAGAGGTGCTTGCAAAAATAACGTGCATACAAAAAATGCAGCAAGTCATGCATTTAAGCAGAACTGAGCTGAAGAAATACCTTACTTTTTGTTAGGTAGTGCCATATAGCAAAAGGTTTCTTGGTGGATTTTGGTTAAGGACCAAGTGGGCCAATTTAAAGGATTTCTGTGTTTTTGCATATGCCAAAGCGTTCATGGGAATGTGAACCCTTTCATTCCTAAGACAGCTAGGAAATAAACACAACCTTTACTGCAGATAACTGTTGGAAATATTCTGCCTTATCACAGCCATCACAAATGATGTAGGAAAGTGAGAAGGCTGCATCTGTTGTAATAACCTCATGCAGTACAGCAGGGGCTGCCTTTTAACACCTCGACCTGTAATTGGTGACAAGGTAGGCGAGCTCTTGATAAATAAGCAGAAACTCACTGTGTCCACGAGCTTGTGGTCTTCCTCCAGTCTACTCTACTACAATATCTGCTTCTCCTCACAAGCCTAGCGCTAACCGTGGTGGTTTTCACACAACAGCACACAGGCACCAACCGTTGATGCCTCCTACTAGAGCTCCAAGCCACTACTCAGCGGCTAAACCTCCCCTTCGTCGTGCAGACAAACATGAAACAAAAAGGAGAAAGAAAGAAAGAAAGAAAGAAACAGAAAGAAAAGGAAGCAAAAGCGCGTTTTGTGGCGTATTTCCATGCGTCACCCTGGTTTTTGTACAAGCAGGCTGACAGTCATGAGCCTGCAACCGCTCGGCTGCACAAGCAGTTGTCGGCATTAATGGGATGCACACATGTGCGTGCCTCTGCTGTGCTGCTGATCTCGGGAAAGGATGGATTTAGATGCAATTTTGTTGCTCAGTGAGGATCATACTTTCCAGGAACAAAGAAAGAGTGGTGGAATAGCTGCTTAACTTGAAACTGATCACGTGCCTTATTAGCTCTTGAAAAATTCTCTATGTATCCCGCAGCAGTGAACAGCACAGTGGAAAATTGTTATCCCTCTTGAAAATAAACATGCATCGCCTTTTCATTTAACCAGCTGAAAATACATATTTTTTAAGTACAGGATACAAGTTGTATATTAAAATGCGACAATCACATCAAAAGCCTCTTCTCTCCCACACTTTCCCGTGGGCGATCTGTCATACTGCTGAGCTTCCTCCATAACTACGAGCTTTGAATTCAGATTTTCAAAAATAGCTTTGAAATCCTGTCTCAGACCCAGCTATATTTCTGTTCTTGAAGAATATGCCCTAGGGGGCAATGTGGGTGAGAAGCTGAAGTTTTATTTTTAGTTAAACTTTAAAATTTTGTCCTAATGAAAAAGTATACTGGAGGCAAGCTGGCTCGTAACATGAAGGCTTGGAGCGTTTCGGTTTGTGGGAACAGACTCGTTATTTTAGCCGTATGCCTCGATGCCTACCTGCAAAAGCAGGGCGGCCAAACTCGAGCGCGAAGACGCTGCGAAGCTTCATGCATTAGCGGCTGAAGGAGCCGCACATCCTCCCGCAGAGCTGCCCGTGGAAGCCAGAGGCCTTGCACCCCATCATTAAATGGGCCTGCAGACCACGACCTCACCAGGGTCTGCCTTCTTCATGCGTCATTAGTGCTCTCCGCGTTTACGAGCACAAATTCAATTCTGTCTCACACGGAGCGGCTTAAAGCCAGCAGCGGCCACCAGGCTGGTGTAGAACGGTGGGTGCCACTGGATTTGTGCTCCCAGCTCAAAGAAGGAGCAGCAACAGGGACAGGCTCTGACCACCCTTAAGGAATTGAACGAGGGCAGGCACAGATATGCAGTGGTTCAAGGCCAGGGTGAGGGGCTCAAAGAGCACAAGGGCTTTTAGCCAGGCAAGAGCACTCTTAGCCTGGCTAAAGCGACTCACCATCCCGCTGATGCAGCGGCCGCAGGCTGTCGTCTTGAACTCCCCATGCAGCTCCTTCACAGCGCTTGTCGTGTAAAAGCCTTCTGCCAAAAGGATTATTCCATACAAGAAGAAAAATGATGCAATGCCGTAAATTACATACTGCATTAGCTGTATTCTAAAATGGAAAGGAAAAGAAATGAAGATGTAATTAGGTTTCCATCCCATTAAAACAAAGCGAGTCTTCCCCAATCACAACAGGTATGAGATAAATCGTTTTTCCATAAAGACAGTTCCAGGCCCTCTAATCCATTCTAAACACATGGGCCGCAATAGAGGCTGCTGGGAGAGCTTCCCAGGTGAGCGATGCTGATGGGCACTGGTCTGGCATCTGCTCGAGCAGCCCTGGCTCGTGTTGCTGTTCTTACACTGCCTGCTGCTCGTCACAAGCCTTGGGCCTCGAGGTCGCGGCCCCGCTGTGGAGATGTGTCTTTCCCTGTTTCTGATCCTGACACCTCTCTCAGGCAAGGTTTGACAGGAGCCACGTAGGGAAAACTTGGCAAAGGCTGGAGCAGAGTTGAACTGCCCTACAGAGAGCAAAGTAGTCTCCAGTACTCACTATTTCCAGAACACCCAGTTAAATATATGTTTGCAACACTCGGTAAATTCAGTGACATTTGATAGATACAAAACCCAGCAGATGCTGATGAGAACATTTTGCTCTATCATCTCGGGTATGCTTCAAGCGAGCAGATATTTTCAGCTCCTTATGTCACAGCAGTATTGAACTGCCCAAAGCATAACCCAAAGCGGTGTTTGTTTGTTTTGATTTTTAAAATTATCAGAAATATTTAGGAAATCTTTCAGTTTGAGGTCATCTGGGACTTAAGGCGTAGAGGGCAACAAGATCCCTGGCATAAGGATTTCTCTTGGACGTTACTTGAAAAGGTTCTCCAATCTCTCAAAATCTACCCTCTGCATTGACTCTTCCATTGCAGTTTTGTTCTGGCTAGAAGAGATAAAGGGAAAGAATCATCACTAAATATTATTAATCCAATTAGAGGTTCAGCTTCTGAACTTGACAGTTTTGGAAAACCACCATCCCAGATCTTCCATACACCCTTTCTTCTAGTCTCCAAAACAACGCGCTTTGTTACAAGCACAAAGCTATCAAAAACTTTCTGTCTTTTTCTTTTTTTTTGTTAAATAACTAGACTGTTTGGTTTGTGGGGTTTTTTGTTGTTTTGGATGAAGCTACTTGCAGAACAGAAAGACACTACTTTTAGCCATCCCTACTGCCAAATATTTAATGATACACTTTCTCCCTTCAGACACTTAGTCAGTCCTTACCACACTCCCCTAATGACCTTACAGGCATACATTGCCAAGGACCATCTGCACATTTTATCATAATTTGAAGAAAAATGATGACTACCACTTATATAATTAAATGTTTTGCAGACATACAAGCATACCCCTTGTATCAAAATAGGATATGGCTCATTTAAATATATATTTAAGAAACAGCAGTTGTGTTTATTTTTTCAAAATAATTAAAAATAATAGGCTGTCACACCTCCGTGGCACAGCATGAAAAAAAATTCAGTATCATTTTAAAAAGAGCAAAAATAATAAAAATAAGATTTTTTATTTATAAGAACAAAGGAGTTGTTAGTTTTGCTGTCCTCAGCAGTCCTGCTGCCCTGTGCACACGCCGCTCCTTCCCCAGGGCGAGTGCAGCCCTGCGGGGGCGGCCATACGTGGGATTTGCGACCCCAGCTGGAGAGGCTGAGCCAGTGAGCGCCCTGCTCCGGGTGCCAGCATGAATCACAGCATCACAGAAGGGCTGAGGTTGGAAGGGACCTCCAGAGATCACCTAGTCCAACCCCCCTGCTCCAGCAGGGACACCCAGAGCACGTGGCACAGGGTGGTATCCAGATGGGGTTTGAAGATCTCCAGAGAAGGAGACTCCACAGCCTCTCTGGGCAGCCTGTTCCAGGGCTCTGTCACCCCCACAAGAAAGAAGCTCTTCCTCACATGGAGATGGAACTTCCTGTGTTTCAGCTTGTACCCATTACCCCTTGTCCTGTCACTGGCCACCACTGAGAAGAGCTTGGCCCCATCCTCCCTACATTCACCCTTCAGGTACTTGTACATATTGATCAGATTCCCTCTCAATCTTCTTTTCTCCAGGCTGAACAGGCCCAGCTCGCTTAGTCTTTCCTCATAAGATAGATGCTCCAGGTCCCTTAATCATCTTCATGGCTCTCTGCTGGACCCTCTCTAGAAGCTCCATGTCCCTCTTGTCCTGGGGAGCCCAGAACTGCCACAATACTCCAGTGAAACTGCTCACGTATAGAGCTCTTCTGCCATGTACCATGCGCGAGGACAGCGCGAGACAATGTGTAACACCCCGGGAGAGGGAAAGCCTGGCACACGTGCCAATGACTGGGACACTTGTCCCTGCAGGTCCTCAGCATTAAGGGAAATAAGAACTTCATCCCACGGGAGCTGGATGCCGACAGCAGCCTCCCTGCATGGAGGCTCAGAGACCTCTGCCATTCCCACTGCGCCTTTCTCTGGTTTCACCTGGAAACCTTGGGAACATGAAAGCTGCTAGTATCGCACTGGTATTTATTCCTGAAGACTACAGTAGTAAGGACAAGATTTTAAGCTCTTTCCAGGCTTCTCTCTGCCCTTCTTCTGTCCATTGCAGAGCAGTCCCCCTTATTCTGAGTAGGGAATGCTGAGAAAACCCTTCCCAGTTCTCCCTATTTTTCCTACAAAGTGTGTGTCCCCCAGTGAATACTATTTCCTTATTAATTCTAGTCAGAGTCAGGATTGCTCCCCTACACTCTTGCGAATAGGAACTGTGGCGCCTCCATCAAACTTACCAGGAAACCTAATCTAAATGTCAACATGGGACCTTATTCTGCCCTGTATGTTAAACAGTTTCCTCGTTCTGGGAGTTTCTTGGCTTTCTGAAGAAAGCTGGGCCTAACTTGGGAACGGTAGTTACAATTCAGGTGTTTGAGAGTCCTCCTCAAACCGATGTCACGACAGGTCAAGCAGGACACACACTGGTTCTCCGCGAGTGCTCACTGAGAAACACCGAGCAGCGGTTAACAGGTGAGCTGCTACCCAGGCTCGGAGGCTGAGCTTTGACTCCATCTCCTCTCACCTCCAGTCTGAGGAGGCTTTGGTGACTTTCTTTCACGAATAATGGGAAGGGGGGGGGCACATACTTACACTTCGCTCAGCAAAGCATGGTCACTGGCATTTGTGGAGAAGTGCTGCTCGAGGATGGAGACGGTCCCCGTGAGCGCCACGTGGCCGCAGCCGCAGAACAGCGCGACCCCCGAGAAGCACAGGATGGTGGCCACCAGCGAGGCATAGGGCACCCCTCCCAGGCACTTAATGCAACATTCAAAGCAACCTGGGCAGAAGGGAGACAGCAAAGCAAACAGCGTAAGCGAGGAGCAAATTAGGAGGACAAGAATATTCATTCTTCATGTGGCAAAAGCAGCAGGGCCTAAAAGGCCAGGAGATCGACATGCTAAGTGGAAATCTATAGATGGTGCAAGAAAGCGTCACCCTCTGAAGCAGTGACCTACAGATCTGCTGGGGAGAACTCGACGCCCAGAAAGTGGGCTGAGTGCTCCTGCCTTTATGGGCAAGAGGAGATCGATGAGCTGCCTATGAAATGGAAAAAGAGAAAATCACTTGTCTAAAGTGATTCATTGCGATTCGGCTGCTGATAGAGAGCTCAGCACGCTGCAGAATTACTCAAATTAACAACACAAGCACCAGGTACACCGGTGTCATCATAAGCCAGAGAAGCAAATACTCAAGACAATGAAGCCTTCTGGAAAAAACTCAAGATAATTTTGCACGTTCATTGAAAGAGGAATACATTTAGGTGTGCAAAAGCTTGCTACCCTGCACTTTTCCATGGCTGCTGAGTATTTTTCTGTATATCTGCTTATAATCTTATATTTACTTAGATATGTAAATAACAGGAAATTTGAACAGGGGCCAAAGAGTCCCAAAGACAACATTTTAATAAGAGCGGTGAGAAGCTGTATTGCACACACCATACATTTCCCATTTTATGGGATGCAATGGATTTACCGTGATCTCAGAATACAAACTGTGGTAGCACAGTCAAAGTTTGAGTTAAATGTATGGTTTAAACAGTCTGACCACAGTTAACCAAACCAAACCCCAGAGCTGCTGCTCAACAAACACTGAAATAAGATAGTTGCAACTGAATTATCCAATTCCTCTGACTGCTCTGCGCGAAAATCCATCTGCTTGCAGAGCTGGGAAATGTAAATCGGAAACAAACACAGCTTTTAACTGTGTTAGAACGGTAATGGCAATCCATACCAATTCATTACTTCAGGGTGATGGCATAAAGCTGTCTCCATTAATGCACATTTCATACAACCGTGCAAAACATAAGCCATTAAGATACTGCTTAATGGAGCCACCAGTGCAGCATAGAGCAGAAACAGTCTGTTTCTCCTAATAGGAGGCGTTAAATGAATAAACCATTTGAACGTATGGAGGCAGCTGGCGAGCGCGTACATCGTGCTTCCTGTCTCAGGAATTCCAAGCGAGGATCAGCAAGTCACCATCCATCAAGTGAGGCAAGTTTATTTTTATCCTCCTCACTTTCCCACTAATGAATGACTTACAGAGCCGCCACTTCCACAAAGCACTGGGGAATAAAACGCACACAATAATTGAAAGCTTTCCCATTTCCGAAATGTAAACCTCTCCCTTTAGAAAGTCACCAGCAAGTGTCCCAATCACGCTTAAACAGCTATCATCTCCACTGAAATGACTTATGAAATGCCACTTCACTAAGTGCAGACAAGATTTAATTGTATGGAAACAAGCCTGGGAAGCTTTTATAGCCAAGCCCACAGCTGGAATCCACTCAGTAATAACTATCTTCATGACAAAAATACTGCAAAATGAACAAATACTGCAGCTGGGGACACGGCGGGGACAGCGCATGGCAAACAAAACAGAAACGAGCGCTCTCAGAGGACGCCGTCTCGGGTGTGCGTCTCATCACAGAGGCCAGAGGCAGTCCAGACACTCAACCTGGCGGAGCTCGTTGAGGCGCTCTGGGGAGTTTGCCCACGTGCAGCTCGCAAGCCCTGTCAGACACCGAGTTACCTCATGTGCCCCTGCCTCTGCCGCCCCACCAGGCTGAAAGCTCTCAGAGTTAACCCAGGAAATCTCCAGGAGTTAACCCGGTCTTACACCTGGTACAGGGTTAGCACTGAGGGACCATCAGAGCGTAGCAAGGATCTGATCAAACAGAGCGGACTTGACACAGACATGGTCACAGCCCAGCACGTAATGGTCCTTCAAATCTTGCTCCTAAAGGAGAAGGCAACTAAATGCCAGGTTGGTTGGTATGGAGCTTGATCACCTAATCACACTGATCCAAAGGATCCCAGGAGAGAAGGGATATAAAACAGATGGAAGCAAAATGAAGAAACTGGCCTGTCTGGAAGAAAAGTTTCAGTCTGATTGACTAAAAAACTTTGAAAATACAGAGTTAAAGATTAATGTCTCCCCAGCTAGGTGCCCATTGCCAGGTATCCACAATGCAGAGCCTGCTTTACGTAGGACGCTAATCCGGGAGAATCTGCAAGGTCTTTTAATCTGAAGAGGTTCCAATATGTGCTATTAATCCACAGATCCTTGTTGCAAGCCCTATCCTCTTCCAAGCTGTAGGCAGTAGCATCCATGCTCCCAGCTCTACTGTCCATGTCTTCCCTAAGCACTCTCCAGTACAACTTAAAAAAAAAAAAAAAATCTTTGGGTGCTCCTCACAGTATCAGGGCAGACCACTGACAAAGCACCCCGAAAGAGCCCTCTAAAGTAACAGCACTATTTGGGCGAGACAGAAAAATACTCAGATGTGGAACCCCCAGCAACTACTTGTCCTTGCATTAAGAGTAACCAGGACTCCAAAGAGCAAACGGGGAAATAGTTCACTGCCAGCTTGCAAGTACATGAAGCATCCCAAGGCAGCAGGTTTCCAAAAGACATAAAGTCCCAGTCACACAGTCATTCTGTCCATAAACTGACACTAGAGCTTCTGCACAGCCATTCTGGCCAAGGAGAACTGCATGGCAGCGCAGAGCCCCATGCATCCCCCTAGACCAAACCATGAACACTCTCTGTGAAGAACATAGGGTTCTCATGCTGTCTTAGTTGATATAGCCAGGAACACCTTTCAGCTGAAATTCATCGGGTGCTAAGATATTCTTATCAGGCTTCTCAAAGCACTACTGAAAGAAAATAGTGTGTTTCTTTCAAATATTTAAGCTTTCCAAGCAGTTGGCTTTATGATCTTTCCATAACTCCACATCAGCAAGCATCTTCATGGCATACATACAATTGAAAACTCATGGTCACGTCTCCTTATTAAATATACATTTTTACAAAATAACTTGATAATACAGTGATGACAACTGCAGACCGACACCTTGTTAACTAAATATTTATAGAGCTAAGAAAAGTAAAAAGCATTTCTTAGAAAAAAGTTTGGTTCCATTTTTTTGTTCATTTTTGCTTTTCATGTGGCCAATGCACTGAGGTTTTCCCCTGCAGATCCACTTCCAGCACAGCGGTGTGAACTGATTTGAATATCAGCCTGTGCAGCACAAACACACATCGCTGCATCTCCCGTTTCAATGGCCATTTTGTGCAAGGCATCACTAGAACCTTTTGTGCAACTCGGCAGAATAAAAACATTTTTTGTCCTCAGGCTGGTGAGCAGCAGTTGCCATGGAGGCCGCTTAATAACAGCCCAATGATTTGCCCAGAGCTGCCTCTGATCTTGGCTACAGATTTAACACACTCTCAGAAGGAGGCCAGCTGAAACAAGGACCGAGATTATTCTCTAGGGAATGAATGCTATTAAACACACACACACATACACACACACGCACGCACAAATATTCTTGCTAAAGGACAAAAAGAGAAAAAAAAAAAAAAAACACAGGAACCAACTATTCTTTTAATCTCTTGGAAACTATCAGCCACAGGAAATTGGTAAAGGATGAGCCTACATATGTACACAAACCAGCAATTGGTTGCTTAATGTAAAAGAATAATTATACAATGTTCCCAGCACTGTACAGACTATTACATATATGCAGGGGCTTAGCCATTCAATTTCCCATGTCAAATGGCAATTGTGTGGCTAAACCTTCTTTGGTCCTTTAAGTAAGGGTTTAAGATTTAAACACAGAAAAGCAAGGTAATGCGGAATTAATGGGAAGTGGTCTTAAAAAAGCAATCCTCAGGCTCCCGCTCATCCTGCTAAGGTCAGGACAAGCTGGGATGACAAAATCTGTGCTTAGGATATGAAAACATATCGCGTGCAGGTGCGATGGGATGAGGGCTTGGCTATTCCCAGGATTTTCTCTGGGAGGTTTAAATGCTGGTTCCTGAGCTCCAGGTTTGAAAAGCATTCACCTTCTGCAATCGTGCAATGCCTTTTTACAAAGCTGGGCACGTGGTACATCTGTCTAATCCCTACATGAAAAAAAATACATGGCATGTTCCACCACACGGCCATCGTTTCTGCTACGTTCAGCACTGACTGCAGTTAAGAAAGTAAGTGCTGAGGAACTGCTTTTCTGGAAAGGTTGCGAGACCCCCAAGGAAAGAAAAAGCACTAGATTAGATTTTAAATACAACAGTCATATGTAGATCTGGTTCATTATCACACATCTGTGTGAGCCTGGTGTGGGAACATTACTCCCAATTCATGTATAAATGTAAGAGGAGAGTCCACATTCACCTCTCATTTCTTGCCTAATACCAAGCATACTAATGCCATAGGCGTCTTAAACCACACCATGGATCCTTGATAGAAAATTAACTTTATGTCGATGAAAGCAAGTGCCAATTTTACTTTCTACCGCCTACTGTATTTTTTAAAGCTCCATTCCAAAACGCCTTATGCAGGGTAGGAAGTACATTTTCATATCTCACAGTATCACTGACAGCTATGGGGTAGGTGGTGAAGGATGTGGGAATATGCTAATACCACAGAAGCAAAAATGGAGTTTGCCTCCTCCTTCCCGGTGTTAGGATAAGATGGTACCTAACCATAGCGCCTGCTTCTCAAATCTATCACTCACACCAGCAGTCAAGGGTCAGTAGCAGTGGTATCATGAAACAAAATGTTTAGTATTCCAGGGGTAAGCTAAAAGTGTGTGACAAATTTATCTCTACACTTTAACAGGGACGCTAAATTAGGAAGCACGTTCAAGCACTGGGAAGCCTTCGTTAAACTCTGACCTTACTTCTTCCCATTCATCTTAAATTCTGCTGATTTAGAAAATACGACACATTAAGCTGAAACCTTTGTTATTAATTGACAGTAAATGCTCACTC